CCCAGTACCGGGACCACTCAGGTGCAACGGGGAGCCTAGTCAAGCAGGGACTCATTTATTGCAGGTGTTACAGAGCTTATAAAGGCACTTGGAACTACCCCCTCCCCCCCTGAGGGTGTATTTTAAGGATGGTCACGCGCTGATCATGCACTCCTCAGCAGTGTGGAAGTATTCTTCAGACTTTCAAAGCAAGTCAGGCCGTGCCCCAGTAACTTCCTTTCGGACTTCTGCAAGGTGGGGCCTTTAGGTCCCCACAAATTCTAAAGTGAAACCATCTGGGCCTGGGCTTTTTTTAGACAGGAGGTTTTGTATTACTATTTCAATTTCCTTATTTGTTATGGGTCTGTTTAGGCTGTTTATCTCCCCTTAGTTTAACTTTGGTGGTGGCCATGATTTTAGAAATTCATCTATTTCTTTTAGGTTTTCAAATTTAATGGAGCATAGATTTTTAAAGAATTCCCTTACAATGTTTTAGATTTTTTTTTTTTTGGTGTCTGTTGTGATGTTTCCCCTTTCATCTCCTATTTTGTTGACTTGGATTTGCTCTTTCTTTCTTTTGGTTAACTGGGCTAAGCATCTATCTATCTTGTTTAACCTTTCAAAGAACCAGCTCTTAGATTCATTGATTTTTTTTGTATTGTTTTCTTTGTTTCTATTTCTTTGATTTCTGCTCTGATTTTTGTTATTTCTTCTCATCTACTAGGTTTGGGGTTGATTTGTTCTTGCCTTTCCAAAGTATTGAGTTGTACTGTCAAGTCATTTACATGTGCTCTTTCTGATTTTTTAAAAAAATATTTTATTTATTATTTTTGTTTTATGTTATGAGAGTATTGCCTGCATGATGTCCCAGAGGTTTTGTTGTGTCATGGTCTCATTTTCATTTTGTTCCATGAACACTTTTTTTTCTTTCTTAATTTCTTCTTTAACCCATTCGTGATTCAGGAGTGTGCTGTTTAATCCCCATGAGTTCGTGTATTTGCTAGAGCTTCTTTTGCTGTTGATTATAAGCTTTATTGCACTGTGGTCTGACCGAAGGCATGGAATTATTTCAATTTTTTGTGTTTTTTATTTAGATTTGTTTTGTGCCCCAGAATGTGGTCAGTTTTAGAATACATGCATAAGCTGCTGAGTAGAAAGTATATCCTTTGGTGGTTGGGTGGAATATTCTGTGTATATATTTTTAGGTCCATTTCATGTAGTATGTCATTTAATTCGGATGTCTCTCTGTTTATTCTTTGTCCAGTAAACCTGTCTATCGAAGAAAGTGGGGTATTAAATTCACCCACTATCACTGAGTTGGTGTCAATCTCTGTGTTATAGTCCTGGACTACTGATTTTATGAAGTTGGGTGCTCCAGAGATTGGTGCATAAGTGTTCATTATTGTAATATCTTCTTGGTCAAAATTGTTCCTTTGATTAGAATGAAGTAGCCTTTCTTACCTCTTCTGATGAGTTTTAATTTGAAATCTATTTTGTCAGACCCAGAAAGGCAAACATTGCATGTTCTTTCTTATAATTGGGTGCTAGCTTTGAATCCTTAGATATGCATGTTTCAATTGGAAACTTCATAGATGTCAGGAAATTAGTTAATGGCTATGGAGGGGGGACTTCTTGGGAGGGAGGGATGGCAGAATGCAGTAACATAAAGGAGGAAAGACAATACTTGATTAGGAAGTGTTAAATGAGGTGGGGGGTGGGAGGCAGGGCAGAGGAAGGAGTGTGAGGAGGGATACCTAACCTTAAACCTTCTATAGTAGTAGGTTTCCATAACGTACTACTATAGAAGCTTCCTAAATATATACATGTATAAATAAAAAGAGATTAAAGGTAGTTACCCTGTAACAGATGGACATCATCCCTACCAGACACCATAAGCTAGCAAAGGAAAAGCCCAATGCTAGGAATGGATTCCCTCATCTGAAGATGTTGACAAGGGGTCCCACAGATCCTCAAATAATACTGGCCATTGTCCCCACTCTTGATGACCCACAAGAACTTGTCAATAAAAGCCTATTGCTGAAGACAGTACATGCATGAGTTGTAGAACAAACAAGGAGAAGTCAGGCTGATACTGACTTCAAAGCTTCTTCACTACTGACTAGCTTTCATAATGCTGGAAGATGCTAATGCATGCTCCTGGAAGCGAGGGGTGATCATCAACCTTTCACAGTTGTGAATCCTATGAGATACAAGTGGCCTGGCAAGATACATCTACTGATACAATGATGGCACCAGTGTTATGAGAATAACCAATCACTTTCTGACTAGATTTGAGGTTCACTTCAGAAGATGGAGCCCATAACTGACACTGATATTAGGACTAGGAACCTGTGGCTAGATAGGTCACAGGTTATAGTGGAGAACCTACTAATATTATTCCTCTAAATAGCCATAATATCAAGCCAACTCTTAATGACTTATTGTTATACTCATAGATTAATATATCTCTCAGCTCTCACCAGAGAAACTCCCTCATACAGCAGATGATGATTAACACAGAGACCCAAAGCTTGCCAATGTGCAGAGAATAAGAGACTGCAGAGTGCTTATCCCTGAATAGGACACCTATATCAAGCCTCTTGCCTCCCAAGGCTCAGGGATCATTGTAGAAGAGGGGGCAGAAAGAATATAGGAGCCATGGATGGTAGAGGACCACAAAGAAAATTTTCAAGACAGCTGGTGAACTCATGGTGGTTCAGCATGTGGTGGCAGCATGCAGAAGTCCCATGTGATCTCATGCCAATACAATTGCACATAGAAGTAGGGAAGTGGATCAGAAACACCAACCCCAACTGCAGAACTCCTGGCAACTGATTGCTGCAGAGAAATGGGAGAGTCAGTCTTCTTTAAGAGTGTGACTCTGGGTAGGTTAACTGGCTCCAGTGGATGGACTCATAGCAAAGAACACTTGGGAACACAAGTTTGATTCAGGAGGCCTTAAAAAATAATTATATATGTATATAAAGGAGTTCATAAAATCAGGCAGAGAAGGTCTAAATATTGTCAAAATAAACTCTGTGGATGGATGTGGTAGCACAGACCTTCAATATCAGCACTCAGGAGTCAGAGGCAGAAGGATGTGAGTTTAAGAACAGCCCTAGATACATATTGAGTTCCAGGCCAGCTGGAGCTACAGGGAAACCCTGTGCCAAAAATTAATAAATAGCCCCAAACCTCAACCAAAATATATTGTATGAAATTCACAAAAATTCAATTAAAAAAGCAATTAAATATTGAGGGTAAAAATGTTGCAAGTGAATAATTGAAACAAAGATTAACATTTATTACTTTAATTTTCACTCAAATGACATGTCCTGAATGGTGAACGGAAGAGTAACTATGGGGCTGGAGAGACGGCTCAGTGGTTCAGAGCATGGGCTGCTCTTACAGAGGACCCAGGCTCGGTTCCCAGCACCCACAAGGTGGCTAACAGCTGACCATAACTTGATCCAATGCCTCTGTTGTCTTCTGTGGGCTTTGCAAGCATGAGTGAGCTTTGCAGGCAAGACACTTGTACATGTGAAAGAAAAATGAATAAAATACTTTTATAATAGAGTAACTAATATTTCCTGTCCATTTCCTTTTCCTGATTCAAAATTGAACATTTTTTGTTGTTTGAGAATATTAATGTCAAATTAAGGGAAAGATTCATTTTGGTGGTTTTCAGGAGATGTTTGCCCCCATAGGTTTATATATTTGAACATTTTTCTCCCCCAGATGGTAGTGCTATTTCTAGAGGTTAAATAAGTGGCCTTGCTGGAGGAAGTGCACGGGGGGGGGGGGGCTTTGGTGGTGCATAGCCTGGTCCCTCTTCCAGGTTTCCTCTCTCTGTTTCCTGCACGTGTTTGAAGATGCAGGCTACCAGCTTTCTGCTCCAGTTGCCTCCTGCCACGCGTCCCTCACATGATGGACTCTTCCCCCTCTAGAATGGTCGCCAAATAAATTCTTCCTTCTTTAAGTTGTCTTGGTCATGATGTTTTATGACAGCAACAGAAAAGTAACTAATATACTCATATTCTTTAAATAAACATATTCAGGGAAGTTCCATAAAATAATATTAGTGCTCTCAGTATTTGCTGTGTATCTACTGGGGGCAAAACACAGAAATAGTCTATGGACTTCTAAAACAAAATCAGACTAGGTCTGTTTTCCAAAATGTTAATTTCTAGTCTTCACCATGGGCATGCATTGTTGTTGGGAGATCTACATAGTGGTGTTTATGGATTGAGGCAGTGTGCAGACTGACAGATCCATTGACAATGGTTATTACAAGTGGCTAGTGAATTGAGGGGAAGGGTATCAGTAAAGGGGAATGGGTGTGATGTCATTAGACAGCTTTATAAGCGTCACATGCAAGCATGAAAGCACACACGGAAATGTCCCCTTTCCAGCATCTCAAAATTCTCCTTCAAGTGACTAGAGTGCAAAAACACACACGTAGGGAATAATAATGCCTTCCGTAAGATGAACAATAATAAAGGGGAATGGGTGTGATGTCATTAGACAGCTTTATAAGCGTCACAGTTCTTATACACTTGTTAATAGCCATGCAAGCATGAAAGCACATACGAAAATGTCCCCTTTCCAGCACTTCAAAATTCTCCTTCAAGTGACTAGAATGCAAAAACACACACGTAGGGAATAATAATGCCTTCCGTAAGATGAACAATAAAATATTCGACATTTGTAGGGAAATCTGCACAAATACAGCTGTCTTCATGAACTGCAGAAATACCTCTCTCACCAGAGCCCAGGGCCCAAGGCTTGGCAAACCCTTCATTTTGCTCTTTTCTCAGAACCAACGATCCAATGCAGTGTCAGCGCCCTGGGACATGGAGAGGACAGTGCTGTGTGCTGTCACTTCATTATTTACCCTGTCTTGGTGAGCAGCTGGGGTCTCTGGCTTTTGACCAGAAGGTCCATCTTGACATCTTACCCAGATCAGCTTTAAAATTGGTCAATGAGTCACCTCAAAACCATATTTTCTGCACCGTTACCCATCATCCCATTTGTCTCCTCAGAGCCCCCAGGACCTCCTTGTTTCGTAGGCTGTAGATGAACGGGTTCAGTACAGGGGTAACGATTGAATAGATGACTGCGACCACTTTGTCCCGGGCAGGAGAGTGCAAGGAGTGTGGCTGGGTGTAGGTGGAGAGACCAGTTGTATAGAAAAGGCCGGCGGCAGTCAGGTGGGAGGAGCAGGTGGACAAGGCTTTCGTCTGCCCCTTCGCAGAGCCCATGTGGAATATGACAACCAGCACCCGAGCATAGGAAGCCAGAATGGCCAGGAAGGGCAGCAGGAGAAAGATAAGGCCACTCATGGTGACAGTGTGCTCATACTGGGACGTGTCCTCACACACCAGGGGCAGGAGAGACGGAATCTCACAGAAAAAGTGGTTAATGTGTGCAGATCTGCAGAACGGAAGCTGAAACACATAGAGCGTGTGCACCAGGGCGATGATGGAGCTGCTGCTCCAGGCGCAGGTGACCATGCAGCCACAGGCCTTCCTGCTCATGAGCACAGGGTAGTGCAGGGGCCGGCAGACGGCTATGTAGCGGTCATAGGACATGAAGCCCAGCAGGAGGGCTTCAGACGCACCCAGGGTCAAGAACACAAAGGTTTGGATTCTCACAGCCCAGAAAGGAAATGGTCCTGGAGCCGGACAGGAAGTTGGCCGCCATCTTGGGCACGGTGGTGGAGATGTACATCATGTCGATGATGGAGAGTTGGCTGAGGAGGAAGTACATGGGGGAGTGGAGTCTGCGGTCCAGGCGGATGAGGTGGACCAGCGTGACGTTCCCCATCACAGCCACTGCAAAGAGGATGGCAATGACGGCAAAGAGCAGAGTGTCCGCGGGGCCATAGTGGAAAAGGCCCACCAGGGTGAAATCTGCGCCCAGGCTGAGATTTCCTGTCTCCATGGCTTCAACGGAACCATCGAAGCAGATGCAATCCGGACAGCCCAAGTGCTGGTGGAGACTGCTCATTTAATTCAGGGATTCCCTTTTCCCTCTTGTAGTCAGTCTCATGTGTGATAGCTCCAAGGTTTTCCTTTTCAAGGTCTTCATAGGTGATATGAAAATCATGATCTTTCAGAATTTCAAAATTAAAATGCAAGCACCAATAAATCAATTCATTTATTTGGGACCAGCCCCAATACCCTTGCAGTAACCTCCATCCCACTCCAAGGTTGCTGCACCTCACTGTGCTAATAAACACAGTCCACATGGTTTGTTGAGGTCAGATGTGGTCACTTTCCCTTCTATGTTCCTGTCTTCTGCGCTTTAAAACCTAACAGCATCTACTAAAAGAGTTTTAAAAGTTATTTTTATTTATTCCAATTATCTAAACATGTAATAATTACACGTACTATTCGGAGACTTTGTACCACTTCAGTGCTTGCCTGCAAAACGCACTCAGTAAATCAGAGCAAATCCCTTTGCCCTCTTCTAGTCATTCTCTTTTGACATCTGGAAGCGCCTCCTTTTCAAGGTCAAATTCCAGCTGGAGAAATGAAAATAAAGATTTTACCAGCTGAAAAATTAAAATGAAAGCAATAATCAGTTATTTCCTTTGATTTTTTTTAAAACCACTTTCTTCTTAGTAGATTCTCTAGGCTGAGAACTGGAGCTGAGATCTCTCTGTTCTCTCATCCATGTGAACAACTTAGCACAGCAGTGCTGATCAGATAGAGAGAAATGACTAATGATGTTTCCTTCACTTTTGTTTAATTATATTGATTAAATAGTAAGGAAGGCTATCAAAGCATTCCATAGAAGTAGTACTGCCGTCCTGCTGAGTTAGCCAGAGTTAACAAATTCCTCTAAACTTTAGGAGAAAATATACAATGCGATAACGTACATAAAGGTGAATTGGTTAAATATAAAAGTATTTTTAAAAATTCTTGGACTGAGATATTACACAAGGAATCATTAAATCAAAACTACAGAAATGAAATTTTTCTTTGGCCGACACGAAGCCTGGCATCTCTGTATTCCCAAAGCAAACGATGTCCTGTTGACTGCGTGTTCTATGCCTTAAAAGACCGGGTGAAAGGGTCTGGATTGGTTTCAAGTTTCTTGGCATTTATTTGACATTGACCACGTGACTCACTCATCATTCCTGAAATGCAAAGATAGTTGAATTATTACAATTGGAATGAAAAAATAATAATATAGAACTTTAGTAAGTGAGCGAAATGAAAGACCTATAAAACTGAAGTGGAACTTGTACATGAGTGATTCGTGAAAATGAAAACAGGGATCTGCTAAGGCTCTACATGAATCTACACTATCATTAGCTAATGACATTAGCTATGAAATTATCTGGGAACAGTTATATTTAGATTGTGGTCAAATATACACTTACATATTTTTTCTTAAACATACAAGGTTGATATTTTTAAACTATATGATTATCTTGAACTTTTATCACTTTAGGGACTGACAGTTTTACTTTCCTCATAAACACATAAAATTTCTGGACTCAGTAACTTAATGTGAAATGCCTCTTGGAAACCAACTTGACAGAGTTTGGGGTTTTTCTCAGAAGAACTTGAAGTAACACAGTATAAAAGAAGAAAAAGGGACTTAAGATTTTATTAACATGCTGGTGTAATGTCACATATTCAAAACACAGTTTGAGAACTAGACAGTGACAGTTTTTGTGCAAAACAAGGGCACACCTGCCCACAAGTATTCCATTTGCACAATGCAGCAAAACACACTATCTGACTGTAAATATAAAATCAGCAAGCTGTGTTCTCTGTGTTTGGGGGCCTTCCTGCACTGGGCAGCACACTGAGGGAGTCACTGATGTGACTTAACCCTTCTCCCCACCATTCCTCCAGAGAGGCAGCCCTGGGGTCAGGAATGATCAGACCCCACCCCCAACACGTCACTGCTGAGACTGTGGGGCTCTAGACTGCTTTCCTTAGAGTGCATTTGTGTGTGTGTGTCTGTATGTCAATGAGATAGAGATGGAGATAGAGGGAGAGGGGGAGGGGGAGGGGGAGGGAGAGGGAGAGGGAGACAGAGAGGGAGACGGAGAGGGAGAGGGAGAGAGAGAGTGGGGGAGTGTGTGGGGGAAGGCTTTCACTGTATAACTCAGGCTGCGGTGGATCTCCATATGTAGCCCAGGCATGCCTTGATCTTGCACTGCACCTGCCTCTCCACCTCCTGAGGGCTGGGATCAGAGGCCAGTACTACAATGCCTGTGTGCTCTCATCTCAGACCATCAGCGTTGTTTGTCACATTCAGAGCCCACCAATCCTTGTACGTGTTAAATATATTTTAAATGCTGTAGGTTGGAGATGGCACATCTGCCATTCCGTTTCATTACAACGATGGCACAATTTACACTTTTGTTCTGACTGGAAGTCACCAGTGCACCTCTGAAGACAAAACACAGTCCGTGTAAGCAGCACCGAAGCCTTAAAGCCCTCTTCGCGATGGGAAGGTATGGACCTAACTTCAGGCCATCTCAAATAAAGTAGTTTAGCTGTAGATGTTCCACCTTGTGGAGGACAGAGTGTGCTGACAGCCCAGGGCAGCTGACACACACAGAGATCCTCACTCCCATGGGTCCCCATGTCTCAATGGCCTCCATTACCAGGTGTGAGTCTGAATAAAGTCTCACTTGATTTTTCCTCTTGAGACAGTTCTCATATAACCCTTGATGGCCTCCAACTGCCTACAGAGCCAAGCATAAAACCAGGGAACGTGTAATCCTCCTGCCTCCACCTGCTGAGTGCTGGGATTACAGGCTCTCATACCTACATTATTTGATGCTGTAGACCAAAACCAGGCCTTGGTTCATGCTAGGCAAGCACGGTACCAACTAAGCTTCATCCTCAGTCCTACAAGTGTCATTAGAAATCAACATAAGTTAACCACCCACACTTATTTATAGTAGACTTTACACATGTAACATGTTAACTTACTTTACCTCAATAGTTAGTAAAGGAAAATCACTAATTTAAAAAGCAGGAAATACTAAAACACTGAGAAGTGGCATATTTTTTGACAGCACATTCAGCATTAGGGTAAACATTTTATTTCCAGCCCCAAGGTCTGTGCTGGTAACACAGATCCACCCTTGAGGACATTGCTGAGGTCATCAGAATGAGCTCAGTAATGCACAGTGGGGTCCAGAGTGAGGCAGGATGGGGCAAGGCAGCATTTGTACCGGCTCTTCAATCTGGCCATGATGTTACTCTTAACAAAACAAGCCGTGATGTCTGCACGTGTCTTCAACACAACACAGCTCTGCCACACCTCAGCCTCCACCACCCTCACCTGTGTCACTGACCTGCACGTTTACCCTTAATTTGGAAAATGGCTTTTGTCAAAGGTTATTATCATGGGATGAATTAACCCTGTCATGTAAGTCATCAAGGCTCACATGACCTTAAGAAATTTGTGGACCTAAAGTCGGGTAAGTGAAAAGTTATCTTGTCTTTATGGAAGTCAATAAAACATTAAACTTATAAAAGAGATTAATAGGGCTGGAGAAATGATTCAGCCATGTAAGAGCACTGGCTGTTCTTGCAGAAGACCTGGGTTTGTGCCCAGCGCCCACATGGTGGCTAAAAACCATCTGTAACTCCCGTTCCAAGGGATCCGACAGCCTCTTCTGTCCTCTGCTGGCACTGTACAACATGGGTGCACTTACACACATGCAGGCACAACACGTATACACATAAAAAACTTAGTTTAAAAGGGATTAATAATACTTCTTAGCAGTGTTCTGTATGCCATACATTTTTGCATTGAACTCTTGCGCATTTTGCACAATATATCTTGATGATATTTAGACCTCCTCCCCTATCCACACTCCCATAGCCCCACAACCTGTTTTCATGCATCCTGCCATAAACGATAGGCCTATAGAGTCAAGTTTGTGTCCCCAAATGTCCCTCAGTGTGAGTTCATCCACTGGAGCCTAGTCAACCTGTCTAGTGCCACTCTAAAGAAAACCACTTCTCCTCCCAGCAGTGATCAGTTGCCAGTAGTCCCTCAGATAATGTTGGGACATCTTACCCATTTCCCCACTTTTGTGTTGAGTTTTTTCCAGTTTAAATTTGTATGGGTCATGTGCATTATGCCCATTGAAACAACTTTGCAAAATACGTTATTTTGATGAAGTGAATTAAAATATCATCAAATAAAAATACTTTTAGACCTATTTTGGAAACTGTCACATACCAGGAATATTTATAGAATGTAATTATGTGGCAATTAAATTTTTTACCCTGAGATAGTAATAAGTGATTTATTTCCTACATCAAAAAAGAGCACAGTGACCTGCCCAGGCCCTGCTCCCTGAAGTGGAGAGCTCTGCAGACTCCCACATCTACCTTCCCACACTGGAACACTGACCAGCTTTTGTCCTTGATCCATGAGAGGGTTTAATTTCTTCAGAAATCTCAGTAGCACCATACATACACCTTAACGTTGCCTTTATCATTAAAGCAATACTTGTATACTGCAGAGAGTCCAGAGTCCTGCCCAGGCCCTGCTCCCTGAAGTGGAGAGCTCTGCAGACTCCCACATCTACCTTCCCACACTGGAACACTGACCAGCTTTTGTCCTTGATCCATGAGAGGGTTTAATTTCTTCAGAAATCTCAGTAGCACCATACATACACCTTAACGTTGCCTTTATCATTAAAGCAATACTTGTATACTGCAGAGAGTCCAGAGTCATTCTAGGTCAATACTGTGGCTATACAAGAAAATGATTCCGCTCCCTCTACAGAGCACGAGACACACCTGTGGCAGCAAGAGTGAGACGCTGCCTCCTTCTTACACGGCCTGTAGCAGGTACAGCAGCGGAGTTCTCCGTCCCTCCAGTCATTCACTGAGTAAAGATTCTTGACAGCCAAGGATTGTGCTGGAAAGAGGCCGTTTGTCCTCCACCAA